TGTACAAAACATGGTGACATTAATTTTTAAGTAAATATAATGTGCGATATATTGCATCACCAAAAATTATTGAGGTCATGTACATATATTGTGCGATAAGTCGATATATTGATTATTGCGACAGGCCTAAACTAAATAAATATTTTTTAATAAATTTAAAATATCTAACACACACACACACACACACACACATACAATACATCTAAATACAGTACTATCATGAAAAGGAAAAGTGTTATAATGTAAAGTAATATAAACTATTTTACATAAATAAATATTCTTTCACAGTATAAACTGGGTCTTTATACGTCAAATTTTAGGATGGGAGATGCTTTCAATTCGAGGATGACCACATTTAAACCCTACTGTATACCCCTTGATGTATACTCTGCATAAACCCTATATAGCCCTATTATGGTCTATTATAGTGATCTATCACCTTTGCAAACTACTGAAACCTGGCAATTAATAAATGAATGACAATTCTGAAGGTCAACTCAGCCACAGAGAACAACAAAAATACCGACTTGTCAGACTAAACAGGTGCAGATCACATATGTCAGTGACTGTCAAATTTAGTTACATATTACAAATGAAAACTGCTTAAAGTTCAGTGCACTGTGAGAGGACGACATCTACACTTTAGAAAGGACTTCAGACAAGACGCGTATGAATATAAGAATACCCTCAGTAAACTAAATATAAAGCTTTTCTTTGTCAGGTATCTTTGAACAGCTCAATGACACCATCTTCAAGCTAAAACACGACTTTACACGGTCTCAAACATTCATCGATTCCCTACTTAGACAGCATGCTTGCGGTGCGTTTTGAAAATTCAAACCCATTTTTGAACGTTTGACAACATTTTTGATTAACGTTACCTATGTTGTTTAAAATGCTGTCCAGGTAGTCAGTTCACTAGGTTTTGAAAACCAACCACTTACTTAAACATAGACTGAAAGAAAGAGACACATAAACATAATGTTTTTCATGGATAAATTACCTAAAACCGATGTTCGATATGGTTTCTTATTCTTGTCTGTCTGTTACTAAGGTAATCTATGCTAAGCTAAACTAACCGGGTAACGTTAGCAGCCTGTGTTTTCTTCACTCAAGTTCAAATAAAACTTTCCTACCTTTGAACTGAGGAGCCTTGGAGCTAGTCTGCTGATAGAGAGGAAGGACATTGTTCTTGTATGTGTGTATAAATTTTACAAGTGGTTCTTTATCGACCCCTGCTTGAAGGTGCCCCTCTCGATACCGCGCTCACAGTGAAGGTTGTAAAGGGAGTCGGGCCCTGTTGTAGGCGCGGGTTGGGTCTTCTTGTCTGTCTGTTACTAAGGTAATATATGCTAAGCTAAGCTAACCGGGTAACGTTAGCAGCCTGTGTTTTCTTCACTCAAGTTCAAATAAAACTTTCCTACCTTTGAACTGAGGAGCCTTGGGGCTAGTCTGCTGATAGAGAGGAATGACATTGTTCTTGTATGTGTGTATAAATTTTACAAGTGGTTCTTTATCGACCCCTGCTTGAAGGTGCCCCTCTCGATACCGCGCTCACAATGAAGGTTGTAAAGAGAGTTGGGCCCTGTTGTAGGCGCGGGTTGGGTCAGATAGGTCCTGGTGAGGATGGAACGGCTTCGCGCGTTCTGATTGGTTAAAAATGAGAAATCTGATTTTGATTGGTGGAGCGTCTCATCGCGTTTTGACTTGATTGGCTCAAGAATGGAACATACATAAATTATTCAGACGTAGACGTTTCGGCTGTAGGTGGATCGACCCCTGCTTGAAGGTGCCCCTCTCGATACCGCGCTCACAATGAAGGTTGTAAAGAGAGTTGGGCCCTGTTGTAGGCGCGGGTTGGGTCAGATAGGTCCTGGTGAGGATGGAACGGCTTCGCGCGTTCTGATTGGTTGAAAATGAGAAAACTGATTTTGATTGGTGGAGCGTCTCATCGCGTTTTCACTTGATTGGCTCAAGAATGGAACGTACATAAATTATTCAGACGTAGACGTTTCGGC